AAACTTTAGTGACAAAACATTTGGAATTCATGAACCATGTGATCTTCTGCACAGTCTGACACAAAGGAGGAAAAGTAAATGCTTGGTGTTTACTTAATAATATATTCATTCATATCCATATAAGCACACACACAAAAAACATCCCTACTTGGTAATCTCCCTCACCTTCTCAACCTAAACATCTAAAAACAACATAAAGCCATCACAGGGATCAACCTGTCCTGAAGGAAATTTACGTCACATTCGTCACATTCTTCCCTACTTTTCCCAGCAGTTGGTTTTGGCCACCCCAGAGTGATATCTCTGATGATTGAGGGGAACTTTATGAGTATCACACACTGCTGCCTCGGCTTCATAAAAACAGTCCCGCTGTGTGAGATCCAGACAGACATGGTGAGGCAGGAGAGGACAAACAGAAATCCCTCGCAGCAACTACAGCTTATCCTTCCACCTGCTCATGTCTTACATTTCTCCAGCTTCATTCGGGGTACATTCCTGTCTAGAAATAACACCACAAAGGCTCTTTGTACCTCCTCAAATTAAAAACGAACACTTGCACACACAACAAAATACATGTTACTCTTTTGGGAATTGGAGCGCGGGGGAMTGAAAACACTGGCCATCTGTGGCCTTTCTGCTTACCAGCTCATCACTCTGACAGCTACAGCCTGTACAACAACCATGCTAACATTACACTGTTGATATGCCTAAGTGGTGTATCTTTCAGTCACTTTTTAATCTGTGTGTTTTGTGCATGTGTAGAGGATTTGCAAACCCAATTGAATTGTTGTTAAGCAATGAGATGGACTAAACAGGCTGCACTTCAGAAGCTGTCCACTTCTAGGACTTCACAACAAGCCCACAGGGAGCATTGTTTTTTTTTCTTCCCCTGAGCATTGTCTCAGGCAAGACAATGCAGAGATAATGGTCATTTAAACAGTTGAGTTGGAGTATTTGTTTCTCCTCTGGCGTGTTGTTGAAGGTGACTGATAGAGATGCAATCTAATTCAGATCTGCTGGCAGGCCACCTGACAGTAACAAAAGAGGCTTCGCACCCAGCAGGTGAGACAAAGGCAGAGCCAAGAGAGGAGAGGTAGCTGAAAAGAAATCCAACTCAAACCACTGCCAAATACTCAGCTGTGTTCCTGTCATTAATTCAGCAGACAAAAACTGTTACTAGTTGTCATCATTTATTTATAATGTTTAATAGAGAAAATGCTACCTCTGAATAATACATTTGGTGGGAGCGGGGTGCAAAGCTGGGCTAGGGGGGTGGGAGCCGGATGACTGATGAATATTAACGAGCTGCGTCGGGAGGGATTTTTTTTTCCGCCTCTGTACCTCCTGGGCTTTGTCTGCTCAACTGCTGACCATGACGGCCCAGCTGCGCTGCTCATTTACTTGGCTCTTTGTGCTGTGGCTAGTTTACCACGGCTTGCCAAATTATTTTATCATTAGCCAAACCAAAGCCTAGCAGCAGTCCACTTAGGCTCTGCTCCATCTGCTCCTTGGTGGCGCAGGGTTAGTAGAGAGGATGGACGTGTAGCTGTCCGTCACACAGACTGACGTGCCCTGGTGAGCGAAAGGTCCAGACTTCATACAAAAAAAAAAAAAAAAAAAAAAACATGTGACAAAAAAAAGAAGTAGCCAAATGGATCATGGATTGGATTGTGAACTATGGTCCTGTGGCACTGGTGCTGCATATACAGGCCTTGACTGTCACTATCACTTAGCAGATTTAACTGTGTGTGGGCAGCCATGTGGGTTTTGGCTGTTTAATTGGATCAGGGTTATCTAAGTCTGTAAATTAGTCCCTCTACATGAATCCCCTCTACATTCAAAGATTAAAAGAAATCTAAATAAAATAAAATAAAATAAATAAAACCGACCTGGTAACCAACAAAACAGAAAACACGTGTTGGTATAAAAACACAACTCTTAGCAGCAGCAGGAGCACATCTGACACCTTATTTGAAAAATTGGACTTCCTGTTGGATCTGACAAGTTTTCTCCATTCTAACCATCAAAATCATGCCAGGTGRCCCTCTTTACTGATATGTTGCACTTGCTTGGCAGTTCCCCCGTGCTATGCAGAGTAGCTTTGTTTGCTTTAGGCATAGCAGAAGGTTGGGGTTAAGGTTAATTGTTGGTGCAGAGAAGACCAAATGGTGGACGTTGAGGTGGAAATTAAGACAGAAGCTGTTAAATGCTCTGGGTGGGCAGCTTCCAGATGATGGGGCTACTAGCAACAGTGATTAGAGAGGCAGATATAAAAGTCCTGCACCTTTGTGACCTCTGCTCCTTGTAGCTTCACTGCTCCACCTGCCTCTCTCTCATTCACACACACATGAACTCAATCTTGTTTCTACTGACTTTCATTCCTGTTCTTTCAAGTGCATACTTCCACCTCTCCAAGTTCTCTTCCACCTGTTGTCTGTTCTCACCACAGATCACAATGGCATCAATGACTCAGTGTCATTTGTCTTTGCTACTTTCCTTTTTGCCCTATGTTGCATCTCCTTCTATTCTCATCTACTCTCTTCAGTCCTTTCACTGTACCATTTCTTCTTGGCTGACCTCTTCCACTGAATGGCTTCCTGCACCTCATTWTGCCACTACCAGATTTCCTCACAGTTTTTTCTCTGTCCAGATGATTCACTTAGGGTCCACTGTCCAGGAAAACAGGGCRTGTGGTGAAGAGGTGAAGAAAAGAGTCCAGGCCGAATGGAGTAGATGGAGAAAAGTTTCAGGAAAAGGTAGTAAAAAAGGCAAAAGTAAAGGTTTATAAAAGAGTAGCAAAACCATGTTGTATGGTTTGGAGACAGAGACATGGACAAAAAGACAAGAAACAGAACTGAAACTGTCTCAGCTGAAGATATCGAGGYTCTCCTTGGTGTAGACAAGGATGGATAAGAYTAAGAATGAGATCATCRGAGGTACAATACAAGTTAAAGAACTGGATGATAAAGTTAGAGAGACCAGACTGAAACGGTTTGGACATGTCCAGAGAAGGGACAGTGGATATATTGGYAACTGCCAAAAAAAGACAAAGAGGAGACATATGGATGATGTTAAAAGAGGACATGGAGGTAGTTGGAGCGAGGACAGAGCACAGAGTGAGATGGAGGAYGATGACTTTCTGTGGGTACCCATGAAAGGGAATAAACGTAAGCTATAAAGAACAGAAGAAGACGAGTCATTGTTGGAACATTAATGTCTTACATTAGCAACATTTCTGGAAAAATTTACAGTTTAACAATTTGCTTCAATGTGACTCAAGAGCGCGACTGAATTCTTGCCAAATCCCATCTTCTACAAGTGTCTGAGCTAAGCCGAGCACAGCCAGCCAAAAAAGGCTCATTATTGAAAWATGGGACAATGCAACCTCATGCAAGGAGCAGATAATGCCTTCAAACTGCCCTAGGATATACCCCCCCTTTTTCACTCTTTATTCCCTCTGCATTCTTCTCAATCTATTCTTCTTAGATGTAAAGACAGCATTTCAGTGCTTTATTTGGCCTTGACCACTTGGTAGACAGCCACTAAGAGGCAGTGAATCTCTTCCTGAAGAAACTGTTCATCTGATACAATGCCTCATCAACCCCCCGGAAAAATGTGAAAATAAGAGCAGTGAAGGGACAAAAGCACAAAAAAGAGCATGTTTTCTGAGAACAAAGACAGTAAGAGCAGACTGATCCGGTGCAGGAGTAATGAGTGAGAGTACCAACAAGACGACAAGAGACAGAAACACACACACAAGAATCATTTGAAATATGCATGAAAACGCAAGAAGCAGAAAGTCTTTAAAGCCAGATCAGAGACTTGAAGAACAATTTCACGTGGAGCCGAATTTTATTCCTGCAGCAGACGGGGGATGATGCTCAGAGGTGACAGAGGGTTTAATGTCAGTAGGAAATAACTCGACCAGTCAGACAGGCTGAGGCCAAATCTGGAATGAGGTTGGAATGAATGAAAGATGATACATTATTAAATAAAAAAAATGAGTTCTGGATCAACCCTGCCATGACAGCTTGTTCTAACTTTAAACAGTCTGCCATGACTGTGCACCCGTGTGTGCACAAATACCAGGGACACACAGCAAGCTCAAAACACAAAGAAAAGAAAAGAATGACAAGGAACTGTTTCATAAAATGCTTGACTGTGTTTCTACCATTTTCCATGGGTTCATGAGCAATTTTTTTTTATTTTTTTCCCCTTTTGTGTGTGTGTTTCACCCTCCACCAAACATTGCCATCCATTTGTCTAATTAAAACGAGTCAGCCCACAAGCTGCCACAGTTTCCTTTTCTGTCCTCATTGACATCCTTCATTGGGTCACTTACTAAAAATCATGTTAGGATACATCTCCGTAGCAAGCTGACCTCCTTTGATTCCATCATGATTTTTTTTTCCTGCTACAAAGTTTCCTCCAACAGTAGACATAAAGACCAACGGTGTAAGATGATGTTTTTGGTTTTGTCCCCTCTTTGCTTTGCTATCAGCTCTCTGCCTGTGCTGCATCCACTTYCACCTAAAACAAGCTTCTTACCTTACAGCTTTACAGGAGCAGAACTTGATTGTTTTTTTCCACTATAAATTCTTATACAGATTCAAATGCAATCAATTTAAAACATACTTTAAATTGCACAACATAGCTTCTTAGGGTTGAAAAGGTTAGAATGATACATAAGATTATCCATGCTTGGAAACCTTCAAATGGCAAAGGTATAATTAAACCTCTAAGACATTTCCTTATGACGAATTTTCAACTAATTAGCATCTAAAATTAGCAACAATAAATATAACCAGAGGCATTCTGGTGCACGGATAATCCTGATCAGAGCCAAACATCTTTGTCTTTGATAACTCCTTTCCAAATTAACCACGACTGAGCTGAGCAGTCTTTTCTGTGGAGGGGGCGTTAAAACTAACATTTCACTCAATTACTCTAAATTCCTGCTCACAAAAGAGAAAGCAGATGGTTCCGGTRAAACAACTCACCTTTCTGGTGAAGTGAGGTCCAGTCCACAGGAATGTAAAGTGATGCTGCAGCTGTGATACAGAGCAGGTGGAATGCTGGGTCCATCCAACGACGCGTAAAAACCCCCGCGAGTGCCGGTGAAAACTAGCTGTTTTGTATGTGCGCGTGTGTGTTTAGGTGTGTGTGTGCGCGTGTCAAAGCATGTGGTGATGAGCGTATATACGCCTGCACCTTGATCCGAGTCCGCGCGTCTTGTGGACGGCAGGGAGATGGAGAGGCAGCGAGAGGATGAGCGTCAGCCGGAGTGATGCTCTCCTCCTCAGCAGCTGAGCGCTACTGAACAAAAGAGCTCCCAAGGCTCTGTTCAAACAGCAGGAGAGGGGTGGAGGGGGAGGACGATGTGTGGATGACCACAGGCTTCAAAGAGGAGGACCAGTGCAAACTTATGGGGCGCCAAGAGTAAAATGAAATGTTAAAAAAATCCCACTATATTTTCTTTATTTAGCTCACTTTTTGAGTGTTAAAACATTTCCCACTAACATTTTATTGTTAGGCTACTTAGCTCACTGTTCTTACATCCATCCATCCATCCATCCATCCATCCAT